CAAAGGGGAGTGGTTGGGCCCCCCCCCCCCCCCCGACCCAACGACTGTGGGACATGGTTGGGCCTGGACAGCAGCCACCTGAGGTAAAAGACAACAAAGAGGTAGGAGAGGAGGCCACGTCGCTGCTCATGCAGTGCCACAGCTTCTGAGTCTGTTAGAGAGTGGCTGCTCCTGCACCTCAGGGAGGTGGCACGGCTCTCCGAGGAGTGTTTCTCATGCAGAATTGGGGATGAGTTAGGAATAATCTGTGTGAGTGACTCATTGAATCGCTGTGTGAGTGATGCACGGGATGGAGCCCTTAGGAGCCAGGCTAGAAGAAAGACCTCATCTTTGACCTGTAGGGCCCACCCAGGACCCTACATCACTGGGACACCAGCAGCTTCTGCAGTATGACTTATGTGATCCTCAGAGGGGCCACTGTGGGTTTAGTCTGGAGTCCAGAGAGAACAAGCCCCCTCAGCTCCCTTCTCTCTTAAGTCTGGTGCCTCATGCTCCCATACGCTCTCTCAGTCCTGCCGGTGTGGTGTGGCTTCGATCCAGCAGTGTCTGTTAACTGCACAGGGGGTGAGACTTATTTCCGGGATGTGGCCTCCAGACTCTTGAGAGAAGAATAAATCCTAACTCCACCCCTGCTAGCTGGCTGACCATGACCCAGTCTCTGGCCTTGTGGGAACCTCTGACCCCCATCAACCAAAGGGCCATAGTGATTTTTGCCTTGAAAAGCTCCCAAACGCTTGTGAGTCAAGGTAATAGACGTGCCTTGTGAACCTCAGAAAGCAGTCTGGGGTGGTAGGTAATATAATTGATGGCTCTTGATGAGCTGGACCTCAGAGGGCAGGGAGAGGGGAAGGATGGCGCCTCTGAAAATCAGCGTGGAAAGTAAGACCTTGAGATGTGGCAGGAACCGTGCATACTCCAACAGAGAGAGGAGCCTGCAGGGAGAGAGGGCAGCTGCCATGCAAGAGGCCAGAGTGGCATCTGTAGACCACCAGAGAGCTGACCCTCGACCCTTCTGGAGGTAGAGATGCCGTATTCATGGGCCTCCTGGCTGCCTGAGCGGTGACAGGGGACTTTGTGGCTATCCCAGAGCATTCAGTGTTCTGTGCAGGAGAATGACAAGAGCAGGGGCCGCCTGAACTGATGCATTGCTTACATCCCCACTGGAGACAGGAGGCCACCTCCCAAAATACCCAAACAGAGGCCCCCAGATGCTTTCTTCCAGGCCAATGCCCTGTGCCTTGGGACTCCAGCATGGGCATGTGAGAGTCTGAGTCAGTCACTGCCCTAAGGTATGGGTGGGAGGAGCAGTGACCTGCTGGGGATCCCAGAGATACAGACAGCATCTTATTCAGGGATGCACCAGCGAAGCAGGCAGGGCCAGGAAGGCCAAGTCTGGTTTCAGCTCCACAGGCAATCATTATGCCCCAGGAGGTTTGGTCACTGCATGAGCTGACTCCCTTTTTCTCAGGGAGCCCCCTTCCCCAGACTTGGTACAGTCAAACTCCCCCAGCAGCCAGAACCAGGAGAGATCTGGCCTTAGGACGACTTCTGACCTTTGCCTCCAGCACGGGCTGGGGGCACCAGGGGCAGGTCATGCTCCTTTGAATGCTTTCTCCTCTTGCAAAAGCAGTGTCTCTGGTGCTCCAAACCAATGACTGCCATTGCCATTACAGCAAGCACACGGCGACCAAGGCTGTAACCAAGCAGGGACTCACAGCCGCCGGGGCTGCCAGCCGGTTAGCTATTCCTCAGGCAGATTCCGCGGTGACTCTGGACAGATCTAGCACATGGTTGGGGCTTTGTGAAGTAGCAGCGTATCTTTGTGCTGCTGTCCTTGAAGCCCCATCCCTGGGATGGTCCTCAGCGGGGGAAGGGTGCCTGGAAGGGGCATCTAGCCAGGTCATGAAACTTGGGCTTCCTCATTGGTAGACATTGGTGTGGGGCTCTCCTTCGACTAAACTCAATGTGTGTGTGTGTGTGTGTGTGTGTTGGCGGGGAATGAAGTCCACGAGGCTCAAGTGCCACCAAGGCCCAAGGTGGCCAGCTTCCTCGTTCAGTGAGTGTGCTGTCTGCACCCTGCCATAATGACTCAGGACATGGGCACAGTTGGCTTTCTAAGAAGGGGAAGTCTTGCCAGTGCTACTCCCTTCTGTCGGTAAATCCCGTGCCCCAGAGGCATGCAAAATGCTGCTCTCCTTGGAAAAACACAATTTCTCTCCCCCTGGTTCAAACTGCGTCCTTGGAGAGCGAGCTTGAGCCACAGAACTCCAACCCCAAGGAACCCCATGACCTACAGCATGGAGCCCCTTCCCTGTACATTGACAGAGGTCCCCGTTCCTGCTGGGTGACAGTATTGAGAGTACAGGCCAGAGCAGACTGTCGCCAAGCAGTGTTCTATCTCCCCCTCAGGGCCATGCAGAAATGTGAAACTTGGGCTTCCTCATTGGTAGACATTGGTGTGGGGCTCTTCTTCGACTAAACTCAATGTGTGTGTGTGTGTGTGTGTGTTGGCGGGGAATGAAGTCCACGAGGCTCAAGTGCCACCAAGGCCCAAGGTGGCCAGCTTCCTCGTTCAGTGAGTGTGCTGTCTGCACCCTGCCATAATGACTCAGGACATGGGCACAGTTGGCCTTCTAAGAAGGGGAAGTCTTGCCAGTGCTACTCCCTTCTGTCGGTAAATCCCGTGCCCCAGAGGCATGCAAAATGCTGCTCTCCTTGGAAAAACACAATTTCTCTCCCCCTGGTTCAAACTGCGTCCTTGGAGAGCGAGCTTGAGCCACAGAACTCCAACCCCAAGGAACCCCATGACCTACAGCATGGAGCCCCTTCCCTGTACATTGACAGAGGTCCCCGTTCCTGCTGGGTGACAGTATTGAGAGTACAGGCCAGAGCAGACTGTCGCCAAGCAGTGTTCTATCTCCCCCTCAGGGCCATGCAGAAATGGCCTCTGACCTTGGATGTTAGTGAACCCAGTGCCCTCTTGGAATCCACAGGCTTTGCCAGGGCCCAGGTGATCAGCCTCACTTCGCCTGTTGGTCTCGGCATTGACCAAGCCTCCAGCCTTTCTAGCTCTGGATTTAGGGATTAAAAAGCAGACAGACAAGAGAGCAGAATTACATGCCTATCCACTGGCAAGCTCTGCCCACATCTATCCGTTCTGCGCAGGGTCCTGCCGCAGCCCCAGAAGCAGAGGGTCCGGTGCTGTCTAGTGCTGTCTAGTGATTCTCTTCTAGATGCTTTCGCAGTATTTTATAGCGTTCAGCTTTTTTTGTCTCATTCTCTTTTTTCACTTATAGCCACTTTCCAAACCACAGTTTCAGAATCTATTAAAAGAAACATAAAATTCCCAATCGGTTAGAATTCTCAACATTTAAAAATATGACTTATTGTTATTACAGCTGAGCCCAGGCAAATGAGCCAGCAGTTTGGAACACAGCATCTTCATCCTCTCACCTGGCCACGCTGCCTTGGCGGGCATATGGCACTCCAGCCTTGCCGTTGTAAAAAGCCATGGTGTCATTTTAAGGAAAGGGGAAAGAAAACTTTCGGATTTGGCATCATTTCTCATTTTATTTTTCAAGTATTAGTTTCGATCTTGATTTCTATTCTTATGGAGACGACGTTACGGTTTACATATGTGAGTCTGTGCACGTGGCACTTTCGATCCAGAAGGGAAAAATCCAATTTCTACAGCTAATTTGTCAGTTTGTGTAGTTTAGAAACCACTCTGGGGGCAGTCACTGAAATGTCACCCCTCTGGAGTGCAGCTTGGTGGTTTTTAAGAGGAGAGTCCTGGCAAAATGCTATAGGTCTCCAGAGCAGAGCCAAGGGAAGCACCAGCTTGAAGCTACCTGAGAAGAAGGATCCAGGTTGCTGGCTCCTTCCTTCAGCTGTTGCAACCTGCGTCCATGAGTAGAGAGAGGGTGGGAGCTCCTGGTGCTGCCCCCAACCCATTGCTGGGGATCCAGTTCTCAATGGCCATCCCAAGGCACTTCCAGGCTGCTGGGCACTGTCACTTTTCTGCTTTAGCCTGATTTCCTTTGAGGTTCCTCCAAAACCCATGGAGCAGCACCCCTACGAGGGAGTTGGGATGACAGTAAAGAACAAGTTCAAGTGCTGCCTCCTATGACATGGAAAAGCGGGAAGCAGAGAGACGATGTTAGCTCCCTGGCCCTCAGTGACTACCAGGCTGTCCTTTTTTCCATGAGTACCAGCCGACCTCCCTCCTGCTCTAGCCTCCTCCACCCGTTTGCATCCTGGATAGACCTCCCTCCTGCTCTAGCCTCCTCCACCCGTTTGCATCCTGGATAGACCTGAGTACACTGGGCACACCTGTAAATGCACTTGTGTCCTCACTGGCTGGACGGCTGCAAGGAAGATCATGGCATGGTGAGATCATCAAGGGTCCCCCCCTCCACACAGCTCTTAATAAATACATAAACAAACTTTTCAAAAATAAAGAGCCCCTTATTTCATACTATACAGAAGCCACTAGACTTTACCCTTGCTATTTCAAAGAACAGTTTAATTTCCCCCTATAAGGTATAGCCTCTTATAGATTGAGCACAACATTTTGTCAGAAACTAACAAGCTCTTTCAAAATTGTTTTGCAGCAAATACTGACTGATACGGAAGTGTCGTCCCAAGAAGGCTGCATCAAAAAGGTAGGAGAGCTCATTCTGAGCCTTCTTCTCTCCCAGGGCCCGCTCGCATTCCTGTTTGGATGACTCTGTGATTTCAGGCGTCCCTGAGTTCGTAAGCCTGTCGTTGGATATGTTGCCAGCAGTCCATGAGCAACGCTTGGTCTGTGGACCAGTGGGCGCAGAGAACAGTGATTCAGATGTAATTAGGACAGATGCTTATTTTCATTGTGTAAGCAGGTAGGGGGTCACTTCACTGAACCATCCTAACTCTTGAGAACAGAAGGAGAACCCTGTACCTGTGGGAACGCTTCGGGCCATGCAGACACATGAAAATTAAATAAACGCAGGTTGTGTTTATTTAACTATCATCACTGGATACTCACATGAAAAGAATATGGAGAAAAATTGGCTGCAGATTCAGCAAAGCCTTTGGCTGTAGTCAGAGCTTCCAAAGAGGACTCAAGCATAGATTTAAATACGCAAGCCATTAGGTGAAAGAAAAATGTCAACCTGGGTATTATCTACTTCTTTGCTGACTGATGATGGGTAATAGCTGGTTGACAAACATTAGCTCACAAAGATCCATAGAGAGAGCTATGCGCAGAGAAATGCACACGTCCCCAGAGGAAAGTGCCCACACGGAGCATGCACACACTTGGGTGTGCTCACTGCAGTCTGAGGCAGCCAGGAGAAGGAGCAGACCCAGAAATCACCCTGGAAACCTTGAAACCATTCACCAGGTAGAGCTCAGCATCCACTGAGTATGAGTCCCCTGCACGCACACCATACCCCCCCCGCACACATACATGCACACTCACATCTGGTAGCCCATCCTGTATCTTGGATTTTCCAGTAAAAGTAAAAAAGCATTCACGCTTTCCCCTGAAAAAAGAAAGAAAAAAAAAAAGCATTCTGTCCCTTTCTCTCCCTTGGCATCTTTGCTTCAAAGAAGGATAAAGCAGAGAGCTTCACATGGACTTGTGTCACACCCAGACAGCCTCAGAGGACACCACGATTGTGGAATGATGAGTCAGCACAGAGCAAGCCAATTTCTACCATGTCACTTTTTTAAAGAATTACTTACTTAATTTTATTTATTATTATTATTTTTAATTTGCTATAGGGCATGTGTGCTCACCAGACACACACACACACACACACACACACACACACACACACACACACACAGAATGAGAAAGCAACCCCAGGATCCTGGACTTGAACTGAGGTCGACCATGTGGGAGTCTAGCACTTTAACCACCATGCCACCTACTGGCCTCTATCATGTCATTTTCTTGGCAAAATCACAACAGGACTATGTGACCCAGAATATGTGTCTGAGTGGTATTGCCATCCTAGGGGGTAGGAAAGTCTAATTCATGTCTTCAGCCCAGCATTCAAGTCATCAGAAATGCCCTGTTTTGCTCCAAAGTAAAAGACAGCACTTTGCTAGTTTTGCCAAAACTCCAACCATCTTGGGACCAGCAGTTAGCATAATGGCTATGTTGCTGGACTCCCACGTAGTCAACCACGATTCATGTCCCGGACCCGGTGGGGTTACTCACACCGGGCAGCGTGGCCATCCCCCCTGGGGGATGATTTCTTGCTTTCTGTCTCTCTGTCTCTCTCTGTCTGGCGAGCGCACACGCCCTATAGCAAAAAACCTGTCCAAAAAAAAATAAAACTCCAACCATCTGAGCCGAGGCACCTGGGCAGACCTGTTTATAAAGGAAGGGAAACTGTCCCTTCTCTCTAGGTCCAAGCCAAGAGACATTGATTTTGGAGAAACTATTGCAATGAGAAACATTTTCTGATGCCATAGTGACTTTCAGAAGGACCCCAGCAACCAGGGAACTTTTTATGTTGTCCCTCCCGGTCACTCACATGGCTATGTCTGTCCTCATGGATCCTTTGGTCTGGGAACAAGGTGTTAGTTCTCATTCTACACTGCTCAGGGGAAGCCCGAGGCCTTTCTTCCTTAAAACAATTGACCACACCATAAAGCAAATGCATCGAATGTTCTTCCTCACTTTCACTTTCTTTTTTCCTCGCTTCTTTGAATGAATTCGTATTTTCTTAAGGGATATGGGGTCATAAGAGACAGAGAGTGGCATTTCTGTAGTTCAAAGAATTATAGTATTTTTTCTCTTCCTGTCAAAAGTGACCAGCAGTAAATTCCAGCCTCCTAACTTCTAGAGTAAGCATGAAATCTTTGTTTTTCCCACTATAAGTATGTATAGCCACTCCTCATTTAACAATTTACCTGTTTACCACTCAGACTTAAGCCCAGTTCTCCAGTCTGTAGGAGTCTCAGAAATCTCCTTTCTCAGTCTTGGCCTCATTCCCGCAGTTAATATTCACTCCACGAAGCATTGCAATCACGCAAGACTACAGATAGTTATCAAGCTAGAGTTTCCTTTAGACCTTTTCATTATTCAGAATAAATAAAAAACGATTATGCTGGATTTATATTATTGTGTTGTGGTATGTCTTGTTGCTTTCTGGTGCTTATTTAATGTATGCTTTTTGTATGGATAGAATTACATTAGTCTAGTATGCCGTCACGTGATATCTACTGAAAAATCCCAGTGCGTGCTCAGGTTCAGATCCTGGAATCCAGAATGGCGGAGACAGGCACCACAAAGCATCCCGTGCAATAACACAATGTGGGGGGACCTGCTGGTGGCGTGGTGGTTACAGTGCTAGACTCCCACGTGGCTGACTGCAGTTTAAGTCCCAGACTTGGTGACTCGAAAATCACATCAGGCATGTGTGCATGTATGCCCCAAATCCCAGGAGAATGGAGAAGAAGGGACTGTGGCATGGCTATTCCTCCCAGGGGGTGGGGAGGAGTGAGTTCTCACTTTCCCTTTCGCTATCTTTCTGTTTCTCTCCTGTGAGTGCACACACCCTATGGAAAAACTTAAAAGAAGAAAAAGAAAAGAAAAAAATTGAAAGAAAAATACATACCCTTTGGAACCATGACATACCATAAGACATTTGTATTTAAGCTCCTCTTTTGGGACCAGTAGATGGCGTAATGGTTATGTCTCTGGACTCCCATGTAGTTGATCACAGCTCGAATCCCAGACCCAGTGGCTTAAACTCACTCTGGGCACTGTGGCGAGGCCATCCCCCCTGGGGGGTGATTTCTTACCTTCCACCTCTCTGTCTCTGTCTTTCTGGCCATGCCCCATAGAAAAAACCTCAAAAAAAAAAAAAAAAAAAAACCTCCTCTTTTATCACCCAATTCACTTAAAGACTTAGTCTAGGAACAGAACTTGGGAGTTAGTGCGGAGTGCCCATAACTGGGTTGTCTGATACTTGGTCAGACTTTTCCCTTAGCAGTGTTGCTCCTGACTGTGGCTGTAGAAGTGGCTTGGAAGGAGGTTTGAAGGTGGCAAATTTATGTTGGGGTGGACATTTGAGTTGTCCAGCTTGGGTACAAGGTCAAGGCAGAAGGTCAAAAGGTCACGTCTAAATTTAAGGGGCCATGAAGAAGCAAGCGCTGGATGCTTCTGAACTAGAGCAAAATAAGACAGGATAAGAATTAGAGGTCGCTACCTGTGCGCTTCCTGAGTGGCACTGTGTGTGATTTCGCTTTTTGTTTTATAAGTGGTGGAACCATCGGGTCTTGTCTGTGTGGCCCAAGGTCATTCTTGAGAGTTGTTCACCGGATGAGTATGAGGTACCATCCAGTCCCGGCAGATACATGCGTGTGCGTATGTGTGGGTATTATTTGTTTATTACTAATGAAACTTTACATGCTCTAGTGAACTATTTTAAGGAGGAATTCTGTGAATTCCTTGGCAACAAGCGCAAGGACTGTGGCTTATCGGTTGTGTAGTTCGGGCCGACCAAAAACACGCATCAGTGGGAGCGTTCAAAATAAGACACGGAGGGGCCAGCAGATGGCGCAGCAGTTACGTCGCTGGGCTCCCACATAACCAACCACAGTTCAAGTACCAGACCCTGTGGCTTGAAACACACTGGGCACGTGTATGTGTATGCCCAAGATCTCAGGAAGAAAATGGAGAAGATGGAATTGTGGCTTGGCCATCCTCCCTGGGGGGAGAGTGATTTCTCACTTTCCTTTTCAGTGTCTCTGTCTCCCCTCCCCCCAAGCCACGCCCCCTACAGCAAAAACCTCTAAAAAAATGAATAATGAGACACAAAGGCATTAGGGTATGCTGTGCAACCCTGGGTCGTTTAACATCTCTGAGCTTCAGTTTGTCTATCTTTAGATGATTATACTTCCTGTTGTTTATCTGCTTCATGCAATGTAACGAAGTTCATTCCATCAGTGGCTTGACACATTAGATGCAGGAAAGGAGATGATCTATAGGGAAGTCGCCACTATAAATTCGAAGTAGTAAAAAGCTGGGTAGCTGTAAGAGTTGAAGAATTCAGTTTACGGTTAGGGAGACCAGGCCATGGAAGGTTTGCAAAACTGAGAACTTTGGTTTCCACACCAGAACCCCAGCCGAGCCTGCGGCGTGGGGCGGGACTCTGGAGCCTAAGCAGCCGGGCTTGGGAGTCGCTCCCGGATTGACCCCACCCCCAGAAGGGTGGAGCCATCGTCGGGCCCCTAAATACCATTTCCCCAGCCTCCCGCGCCCCCTCGTCGCCTCAGCCTCCGTCTGTTTCTCCCCTGCTCCTGCGTAGCGCACAGTTTCCCCAGTCCCTCGTTCTGAGTCCCCTCTGTCTAACCAGTCCCCTGACCCCCGCCGTCTCCTGTCTCTCAGCCTCCCGGCCCATGTTCCCTCGGTCGCCTGTGGGGCTGCGCAGCCAAAGTTCTAGTGCAGATGGTCCGACTCGCACTCAGCCCGGGTCTCGAGACCCAGACCATCCCCGCACCCGCTCTTGTGTGCGTCCAGGGCGCGTGGCGGGCGCTGCCCGGAAAAAAGTCACTTTAGCTGCAGGTCGGGCTGCGGCGAGCCTTTGCTCGCCGCGGTGCGGGGACCTCTGGGACTGCTCCCTCGGCCGACTCTATTTAGTCTCTGTTTACTTAGAGGGAAAGC